TCCCCAAATTCTCACGGATCCACAGATGGCCTGTGTCAGAAGTTTCTGGAGGTTCAGACACCAGCCACCCTGCTAGGTATGAGTCATGTAATTGATGACATCCTGTGTCAGAAAGGATGAGGTGGAATCCACTGTACCAGCAGGTACCAGGAAAGGAAATATCACTCCCAGGAGAATGTAAATATCTCCATGCTGGAGGTCTGGAGGAGCAGACCCTATTCAGTGCCACAGGCATCCAAGCCTTTGGAGCCCCTTGCCTGGAATGTTCTTGCCATCTGTCAACTCACCCCCTTTGCCTTTCTGACTCAGGTTTACGCTATAAGTCACACTTCAATCACCCCTCAACCCCCCTCCACCCTCGGGAGAGCTCTCCTGATTCCCCAGCTATCCTGTTTCTATTGTAGGTGCTCGTGACTTCCAGTAACTTCCCTTCATTATAATCTATAATTCTATGCTGGGAATTCTTTATTTCTCCCCAACTAGACTAAGCGCAGTCAGGGACAGGGCTAAATTACTTCCCTCATTACTGGGCTCCAGCCTCTCTTCCTTTAACACAAAAGACCTGGAATCATGGCCTCAAAGGGCTCTTTGCATTTACTAGATGTAAAGACACCCAAGCAATCCTAATGATACTTAAGTTACTGAGTCTCTTGGAATGTGAAAAGTTGTGTATGAGTCTGGGTCCCACTTCAGAAGGCACCCAAGCCAGGGCTGAAAGCTGAACACTTAGTGGTTCTGCCTCATTCCATGGTACAACTCTCCACAGAGCTGCCCTTCAGGGTTTTGACATCGTGGAGGTAGGAGCAGACCCAAGGGCAGCTTCCCTGCCGTCCAAGGAGAGAGTCTGGTGAGGCACTAGCCCAGCATCGCCTCACATACAGTGTCCCGATTGTGTTGATGAGGATGGATAGAAGGGAACTGTGCCAAACAGGCTGCCTACCAAGCCAGTGAGTAAGTAACAAGATGATTGATGGACGGAGGAGGGATGGCAGATGGATGTATGGGCAGTGAGATGGACAGGCAGATGGACAGATGGATGGACAGAGAGAGGAGGGCCAAGGAGCTTTCTCATACATGCATACATACATACATATTACACACACACACACACACACACAATGAACATCTGATCAGGACACCTAATCAAACTGAACAACAATCCCAACCCTCTCCTCGCTCTGACATTCTGTACCTGGAGAGGTCAGGTAGGTAGACGTCTGAGCTTCCTATAGAGTGATCACATGTTTTCATTTCTCGTTTTTGCTGCCTGTGTCTGCGAGAGTAGACATCCCTGACGACTGAACACCTGCTGTGTTTTTGCTGCCTGTCTGAGAGAGTAGACATCCCTGACGACTGAACACCTACTGTGCTAAGCACCTGAAGGAAGACAAAACTATTTAAAATTAAATCAGTATTTAATATTAAGGAGACGTAAGCCAGGCATGGCGGCGCACACCTTTAATCCCAGCACTCGGGAGGCAGAGGCAGGCAGATCTCTATGAGTTCAAGGCCAGCCTGGTCTCCATAGTTCCAGGCCAGCTGGGGGACAGGGAGACCCTGTCTCAAAAAGACCAAAAAATAAGTAACTTTTGGTTTTGACCACTTTCAAACACTGAACTTGTTCATTGCATTAAACTATAAATCACTTTAAAATATTGTACTTTGCATTAAATTCTTCAGAGGCAAAACTCAAGGTTTCTTTTGGAGTCTCATGGTTTGGGTAAATTTAGATTCTGGCACAATCACCAGAGAATTCTAAAAACTGTCCCCGTAAAGATCGAATCTACATGCTTTTCTTATGACATGACATATAAACGTTGGCTTAGCATGTAAAATACCACATAGCTACAATATTTACAATATCAGTCAAGGGGCTGGCAAGATGGGTACAGATGTTCTCTGCCAAGATCGATGACCTGAGTTCAATATCCAGAACCTACACCATGGAAGGAGAGAAGCAACTCCCGCAATATCTGCACAAGTGTGCATGCCCCTACCTAAGTAAGTCAATAAGCAAAAACACAAATAAATGTAAAAAGTCTCCCCCCAGTTAAAAAACATCAGTTGAAATAATGAGGCGAGTGCCGAGGTGAGTAACTATGGGAGGTCACAGACCATCTCCGACAACGGAATAGTCATGGCTACCCAACGCCACCTGGGATCATGACAAAGGTCAAGGGATCTGCGTTCCTTCCTAATCCTTCTGCATCTGATTCCACGCAAGTCCTAACGTGCCAGGACAAAATTAATGCCTGCTGCTACCTTCTTCTCAGTGACCTCATGCTCACCTCCACTTCTGAGTTTCCTTCGGTGCCTGAGAAGACAAAGCCCAGGTCAGCACAAGAAACAGCTTGGTAGTAACCTGCCACATAACCTCATGCAGACACATCAGTTCCCTACCCCTGACACTAAAACCCACATATCAGTGCCTCATAAATAAGAGTGGTCCTCTAGAGCCATTTTGATGATTTTCTGCTCAGGATTTGATTCATTATTACTGCAAAAGTCCCATAGTCCATGTTGTCTGTCTCAGCACCTCATCAAAGAAGAGTCTGCAGCATTATCCTAGTGTGAGAGGCCCCTTCTCTCCCAGGTTTTCAAAGCCAACTATAGGGGCTTTCATAAAAT